CACATATGTAGGTGCAGAGCAGTGCATGTTCCTCCCCTGAAAGAACTAAAGTTTAAATATCCTTGCATAAGGTGGAGACAATGGTGTTAAGCACAATGTGAGGGTAAAAGTGGGTTTAGAGTTACCTTAAAATCTTGATTATCTCTAAGTATCTGCACTAGTAACTATGGGCTGTAAGAATAAAAAAATCCAGCCACTCACCCCAGACTTGTTCAGAGATTGAAATCCAGGCATTCCCTGTGAGACAATAAGAATATTAAACAGTAGCTATTGCATTCATACAATGAACATTTCTATTTCTGCCCCACCTGCTCCCATCCCAGTGTCAGGTATCTTAACTCCCTGTCTCTCCCCATTGCGTTGATGACACAGAAACTGAAGCAACTGACTATTGACATTTGGCAGGAAACTGCTCTTGCAAATATCAGCTTAGATTCATTACAGTTAATTACATTTTTGTAAAACAGTATGATATGTCAAACAGTATCATATTGTGTGAAGTAAGAAGTGTTCCCTCATGTCAAACAGCCTCTCAGTTCTTGTCCTAAGAACACATACACACGGGTTTCTTTTCCTCCCTTACCCTCCATATAAAAATAATACAAAAGCATGCAACACATTTAATTGCAAATACATTATGTGGAATTTACCCTTTGGGATACCATTAAAATGTAACAGAAAATATATCCAGATGATCCAGTTCCATATATTTATGATGGTACACTACTGACTTTGTAGCAGACAAAACCCCCCACTCTTAAAGGACATGCTATCAAATTTTGGAAGTGACCTCAGTGGACAAAATTCACCTTTGTTAATATCTTTGCACACTTAGAATATTCTAAAAGGAACATACACATCTGTTTCATACTTTTAGTGAAGTCTTCCATCCTTTCTCTTACCTGTGTCTAGGAGCATTTTTAGAAGTGAAAACCACTGAATTCTTACCAGAACAGCTCTTGACCCATCCTTGCCAGTCTGGGCCCCTAGTGAACAATTGCTTTTGTGTTCTTCACTCCCACAAGCATCTTTCAGGTGCAGATTAGAAGACAAGGGCCAGCAAGTACCTTACTGTGATCCTGGTCTTGACAAACTATTAAAAATGAACAAGTGAATGAATTGCAGTGTCATGACAGTAACACGTCTGATGGTTCCAGACAGACTGAAAAATCTGTGCTCCATGTCAAATCAAGGAATAGATTTGAAGCAGATCACAGCCTGGTCTCCCACACTGCACCCTGCAGGCCACAGAACCCCATCCCGCTATCTCCATCACATATGGATATCAGGATGAAATACAAAAAAGGATGGGTGGTCTTATCTCCTAAATTATGTCAAGATAGAAGTTTTAAATTCTAGACTTGACTCTTTGACTATTTGATAAGGTAGAATAACCAGTTTGCCTGAGTGTCACCACTGAAATAATCAGAGTGCTTACTTATCCCACAAGGATACTGTCAGGTTTAATTAATTATGTCTGTGAAATCCTTTCTAAATGAAAAGTGGCAAGCATGATTTATTAACTAAGTCCAAAGCACCACTGCAGAATCAGAGAGTGTTCATTGTTTTACCAAGAGAATAACACTTCTCATAAAATACATTTCAAATGGGAAATTATAATAACAGCCCTTTTGACTTATTTAGACTTTTCTGTGAGGAGCAAGGCAATAGGCTTTTGATGAGTTCTAGGAATAGAAGCATAATGAAGAACAAGAGACACAGGAACACTCGCCCACTGACATGAACCAGCTAAATGGTGTTGCATAAATCCTGAGAGCAGGGTCTGCTGTAGGGCTGAGCTGAGACAAAACCACTCCTCTGCTTGTAAAATGCTGCTTGCTTGCAGTCTGACTGTGTGCAAGGATCTGGGCAAGTCTCACAGATGCAATCACCCAACCACAAAGCCCAGCACTGGACAGAGAATGGCATTAGTAGCAAAAACCACCTGTAAGGTGCTGATGTAGGAGCTGATCTGTCAGCAGCACTCCACTGCTGCCAGCTTTCCTGCTCTCAGGGTCTCACAGCTCCAACCTGCAGGCAGAATCCAGCTGTCACAGTTGGGAATGGCAGGTTGCTGTCATGGATGGACATCCCCACTCATCAGGATGCAGTGGGGCCTCTTTTTAGGTCCACTTTTCACTGAGATGACACAAAATCCCAGAGATAAAAGAGTAGATTGAAACACTCAGACAAGACACAGCTCAAACAACCTGTGGATTACACTGATCCAGAACATCCACAGGGCAGTTCTGTGGCCCAGCTCCTTCCTGGACAACTCCACCTCTTTGGCTTGTTCTGGCAAGTTCCACACCCTCCATGCCAAGAACAGGAGTTTCAGAGGAGGAAATGATTCATGCCCTCAGAATGGAAGTGAAATCCCACAGATCAGAAGAAAACACTTATTCATCTGCATAAGTACACACGCATACCTCACGTTCACCAATTACATTTCAATCAGATACCACAAATGAATAAAAATACCCCAAATCTGGTAGAATTTAACATCAGGTGGCATGCCATAGATATGGCATGAAACAAGCACTACCACACGACTTCAAATACAATGTCAACTGAATTTGGGCCTGATCCAGCAAAAAATAGCCATAGCTTTTGCAGGCTACAGACACATAGGGTTTGAATGGCTCCACTGGGTCAACGTGACACGTAATTCAGAAATATCAACCTGTTGTAGCAAATAAAGACAATAAGGGATTGTCTGGACTGGGTCAGAATCCTTTACAAAAATATTTTAGCTAAAATTACAGTGTAAGAAATGGTGGGTGATGTTTGATTTGTGAGTTGGCCAAGACAAACCCATCGGGAGATCCCCTTAATTAAGTTATTACTCATTTGTTTACATTTTGAAGCTTCCACTTCAAGTCATCTCTCTGCCTCTTTGTTTCCCAGCTTCCTCCTTCTTTATCACATCAGCTTCAGACAGCCAGGCATGAGAACCACTTACCCATGCTGGCACAGGCCTGGCCAGGCAGCACAGCTCTTCAGCAGGCTCAGAGGGTGGCACAGCCACACCACCAAACTTTTGGGAACAGCCAAGCAGCTCAGACACAGCCCCCATCTTCCTAAACCAGCACCATGCTTGAGAGCTGGATTCAGCTCAGGCTCCAGCACAGGAGCCTATCTCACCTGCTAGCAGGGATTTTCAGGGTTTCAGGTGCCACCCTGGCAGGGAAGCTCCCACCCCGGGTGGGCAGATGACACCATGAGCAATAGTCCTTGCCCATGGTGCTATTAAACAAAAAGGCACTACAGGTGGTGCCACCCTGGCAGGAAAGCTCCCACCTCGGGTGGGGACACACCTGCAGTGGGCAGATGACACCGTGAGCAATAGTCCTTGCCCATGGTGCTATTAAACAAAAAGGCACTACAGGAAACATTGCTGTGTGGAGATGAAGTGACAGGTGTATCACACTGCAGGTCTCAGGGCAGTCCAGCCACATCCTTGCTAGTGTTTGAAACAATTCCTACCAGAGATATCTGGGAGCAGCCTGCCTTCAAATATCCTCTGTGTGAATGATTAAACTGAAGATGAAGACATGGAGGAGATCTGAAACCGCCAAAGAGTACAATGGTGGCACTGTATCACCATCATGCCTCTGTACACATCCTTTCCTGAACAGGTAGAGGTGGGATTTTTTTTTCCCTAATTAATTCTTCAGTCTCCTGCTTACAGGTAATTACCACATGTCATGAACAGCTAGCTGATTGTGGACTCCTGCTCCAGATCAACTTTCATTCTGATTTAAACACATTACATGTGACTACATAATTGAATCATAGAAAGGCTTAAGTTGGAAGGGGTCTTAAAGATCACCTTGTTCCAAGCCCCTGCCACGGGCAGGGATGCCACCCACCAGACCAGGTTGCTCAGAGCCCCATCCAACCTGTCCTTGAACACTTCCAGGGATGGGGCAGCCACAGCTTCTCTGGGCAACCTGTGCCAGTGCCTCATCACCCTTAGTGCAAAGAATTCCTTCGTAACATCTAGTCTAAACCTCTGCTCTGTTAGTTGAAAACCATTCCCCGTTTCCCTATCACTATCTGTCCCTGCCTCTTTCAAGTGCTGGAAGGCTGCAATAAGGCCTCCCCAGAGCTTGCTCTTCTGCAGGCTGAGCCACCCCAGCTGTCTCAGCCTGTCCTCATGGCTGAGGTGCTCCAGCTCCAGCCAGCCCTCCTCCAGATCTGCTCCAACAGGCCGCCTTCCTTGTGCTGAGGATGAGCCGGGCACAGCCCTCCAGGTGGGATTCATGAGGGGAAAGGGGGTGAAACGCCTCCCTTGACCTGCCAGCTGTCCTTCTTGGACACAGCCCTGGATGTGCTTGGGATTCTGGACTGGAAGTACACACTGCTGGCTCCCGTCCAGATTTTCACCCAAGGAATCCCAAATCCTTCTTGGACACAGCCCTGGATGTGTTTGGGATTCTGGACTGGAAGTACACACTGCTGGCTCCCGTCCAGATTTTCACCCAGAGGAATCCCAAATCCTTCTCTGCAGGGCAGCTCGCAATGAATTTATCTGCCTCACGTCTGGGATCACCCCGACCCAGGCGCATCGCCCTCAGACACCAGAGCTCTGGGCCGGCTCCCACCCCTACGCAAAACCGCGTGTGGGAGTAAACAAGGCGAAGGATCCGCAGGGACGGATTCCACTGCGTGAAATTCGCTCCGTCTTTGGCCGGAGAATGCGGAGCTGCCCATGTCCGCGGCATTTTTAGCTCCCATAGGACCCGCAGGTCCCGTTTCCCACAGCGGCGGCGCCCCTGAGGGGGCGCGAGCGCTCCCTTCCCGCGCCGCCGCCGCCAGCGGGAGCCACGGCGCGCGCTCCCCGCGGCTCCGCCCGCGACGCGCTCCGGAAAGGCTGCACAGCCCGGCGGGCCGCATCAACCCCGCGAACTGGAACGGCGGGGGCTCCTTGGGCTCGCCTCGAACCCTTTACACTGGGAACGGCGAATTACGAAACGCCATAAAAAACGGGCCGGGAGGGGCGGGGGCGGAGGCGGCTCCGTGCTCTGCCTCCGCCGCGACCGCGCCCGGGAGCTGGTGAGTGCCGGGGCAGCCGGTGCGGGGCCTGCCGGCCTCGGGAGGCGCTGCGCTTCCGGTGTCGGCGGCGCTGCGCAGGCCGCCCGCGGCCTCAGGTGCTCCCCTTGCTTTCGCTTAGCTGGGCAGCTGGGTTTGCTGTAAGAGAGCCCTGCAGCCTCTTATCTACGTTATATATATATGTGTGTATGTATATATATATATATACATATATATGTGTGTGTGTTTACATATATATATGTGTGTGTATATATATATGTATATATATGTGTGTGTGTGTTTAGATGTCCTACACGTATAAAGGGGGTTGGGTTGCCCCTGGCAGGAGTCCAGGCGCACCCCAAAGCCGCTCTCCCCTTCCTCTCCTCAGCTGGACAGGGGAGAGGAATTGTAACAAAAGGGGTCAAAGGTTGAGATAAGGATGGGGAGATCTCTCAGCAGTCACGGGCAAAACAGAGTTGACTTGGGGAAATGAGTTTGATTTATTACCAGTCAAAATCAGGGTAGGATTATGAGAGGCAAAAGAAATCCTAAAAACACCTTCCTCCTCCCCTTTCCCAGGCTCTATCTCTAGTGGCACTGGAGGACAGGGAATGAAGGTTGTGATCAGATCATCACAGGTTGTTTCTGAATTTTTACATAGTACAGTTTTTACCCGTTCATGTTTGCAAGCTGATTTAGACTGTATTCAGTCCTTTGGTAACTAGGAATCAAAACAAACACCATTAGAGAATGTTTGTGCTTTTCAGATTGTCTGATTTCTTTTTCTGCTCTGGAAGGAAGAAAACACGACTGCTGAATGATTTTCTGTGTCAGAACGTTTCATTTTTTCTGGCTCAATGATCTGACTGAATTGTGCTGCATTTTTAGAACATCCCAGAAGAAAGCTTGTATGTGAAGTGTAATGGGCGCCTGGTCAGCGATGAAGATGAGTTGCAGAGTGGAGTTGTTTATAGCCTGGAGCCGAGACTCTGTGCTGGAAAAGGAGGTTTGTTGTTTGTTCTGCTTCTTAGTGATTAGATTCTTAGGTTAAAAAACTGCTGCTGTGCCCTAGTCTGTACTGATAGCAGGAGTCTCAGGTGCTGGCAGATCTCTTGTGTGCATGACTGATACAAAGTCTCTGAGCTAAAACCCAGGTGTTTGTGCAAAGCTGAGGATTGACCAGGGAAGTCCAGATGTTCCTCACATCCCTTTTTAGCTTATCTCTGTTAGTAGAAGTGTGTGTGGCGTGCACCAAAGTGACTTCAGAGTTGAAATTGTGTGAAATTGTGAAACCTGTGATATAGGAGTCTCCTCGAGCCAGCTCTCATAAGCTCTTGGAGATCTATGTCACACCCAAGATAACTCAGCTACCTTAGAAGGCATAAAATCAGCGGGATGGCTTCTGTGGTAGTGTTGGAAACAAAAAGGTTTTAATAAAAGGCAGAATAACAGAACTCTTTGCAGAGAAAAACCGAGCCAGGTGCAGGAGATCCTTGCCCCTGGTAAAACACCTCACAAAATGATTAGTTCCTTTGTTCTCTTCTTTTTCTAGTAAATTGCCCAGGTGGGACCTTTTGGCTCCTGTCCAATTGGCTGTCCTTAAGTTTGAGGTGTCCCCCAGGTCCTATGAGGTGTCTTTTTACCTAACTGGGGAGAGAAACTTCTGGGTTTAATTCCTTTTAAAGGGGACAAAGGATAGTTTTGTCACTCCATCAACAGGGGGCAGGGAGAGAAACTTCTGGGCTTAAAAGGGACCAAAGGATAGTTTTGTCACTCCATCAACAGGGGGCACATTCCTATAGACCTGTCATCTTAGACTGCCAGGTTTCAGTCAGTGGTCACTTAGGGCAAGTATTTCAGGTACAAATAGTCTGTGATTTGAGTGTGATGTGACCTAATTGACTTTATCTTCTATTATTAAAAAAATATACATATAAATGCCAAGATCTCAGTAGCCAAAGAACTAAAGAATTCAACCTAAGCTGGACCCCTTACATTGGCAAGATGTTTCTGCGTAGCTCATTCCTGTTTGCTTTTTTGCCCTGGCAGGGTTTGGGTCGATGCTGCGGGCCCTGGGTGCTCAGATTGAGAAGACAACAAACAGAGAGGCTTGTCGAGATCTCAGCGGCAGGAGACTGCGGGACGTCAACCACGAGAAAGCGTAAGGCGTTTTCCCAGGAGCTGAAATCACAGAATAACCTGAGCCTGTAGCTCACTGTTAACAAAAGAGGTCAAGTGGCTGTCTGTCAGCAATGAAATGGTGTTTTGAGTACTAAAAAGAGCAAAAGTGAAACTGGAAGCCACCAAGGCTTTCCTGACTGTAATTCTATTATGGCAAAAATAGATGTGATTTTACTGCAGCCTGAGTCTGAGAGACTGCTCTGCACCTCTTGGTGCAGAATTCACAATTCCTTGTGTGGAATTCTCACCGTTCTCTCTGAAGCTGCAAGTTCACACACAGATGTGTGAACTTGACTGCTGTTTCTGCCTTTCAGAATAAGCCCTGCTCTCCTCTCTGTAGCCGGGTCTCTGTTTCCTCAGTCACTCCGCTGGGTGCTGTTGTCTTTTCCCTTTGCCTCCGAGTCCAGCAGGGGTGGAAGCGCTCTCACGGAGCTGCTGTGAACACTGACGAGGGCGTTGTGTCGCCGCAGGATGGCGGAGTGGGTGAAGAAGCAGGCGGAGCGGGAGGCGGAGAAGGAGCAGCGGCGGCTGGAGAGGCTGCAGCGCAAGCTGGCGGAGCCGCGGCACACCTTCACCGACCCCGAGTACGAGCGGCAGTACCGCGAGATGGCCGAGCGCCAGGAGGAGTCCCTGCGCATCGGTACGGCTGCCTGGCCAGCGCCGAGAGCCGAGAGCCTCGCTGCAGCAGGAACATCTCAAAAAGAATTGGTTTTCTGCAGTTAAATCAAATCCTACATTTCAGCCAAATTTACTTGATTTTTTTCCTCTTTGTCTGCAGTGTCTGTTAAATTCCACTGAAGTGATGCTTCACCTTGCTTAGCTATCTCCTTATAAGAACCTGGTTCTGTGAGGGTGGTGTTGCTAGTTGAGCTGTAAGAGTTACACAGGGAAACTATAAAGGGGTTGTACATAAAAAACTAGATATTGAATCCAACTGCAGAATACCTTGTTTCACTTCCTGGTCTTTGTAGTTACTTTGTTTATCCCTACATTGTTGTCAGCTAGATACTGAAACTTGATTCTGAATGAAGAACCTGATAGTTCAGTTCAGGAATCCAATTTTAATTGACTCTTAGTAAATCCATGTAGGAAAGCTTTTGCTGCAGCAGCTTTTTGCTTCTATTCAGTTTATGTTCAAGCTTTGAGTCTCTATCACCAATAGTGATTGTTTTCATTAGTGTTTTAAATTGCATCTGAAGTGAAAAGAAAGTAGAATTTACAACAGACATTAGTTGTGTCCTGATGAAGTTCACTTTCAAATTTGTTTTGAAGGCTTGCAGGTTATTGCCAGCAAAGCAGTGTCATCAGAAAGTGGCAAGAGTCGGAAGCGTCCGGGTGATCCTGGAAAAAGTGAAACAAAATCTGAAAAAAGAAAATGTCCTTGGTAAGAGTTATACCTTGTTTTTATACTCCAGCCATAAGCATTAAAAAGGATATAAAGTTAGGTACATACAAGTAAGCAGAGTCTAGTTTGAGATGTAGACTGAAATAGAAATGAGAAAACTGAACTGATTAAATCAAAGAACTGAAAGTAAACATTTCTGCATTCCTATAATTCTGTCCCAGATGGAGCAGACAAACTTCATTTGCAAAAACAGACATTTTTTCCCCCCACCCCTTCTAAATTATTATATTCTACTACTTACTATTATTCTTTTCTTCATAAATTAATTATAATTTACAATTAACTTAAAAAAGATTGGTTTTCTCCCCTGGCATCTTTCATCTAATGTAACATGGAAAAGAAGTCGAAGATTCCAGTCATTTCTGAATTGGGAATGCTGTAATACCTGTTTTGGGCATTTGTAGCTCCTTTTCAATGTTGATAGCTCTTCCATTAACTAAGCTAACCTAAATAGCTGTTAGAGTAGCTCCTTATATCTCTCTGAAGAGGGTTTTAGAAAGAGAAATGTGGCAATTAAAAATTATTTAAAAGAAAAAAGTTAAGATAGATGCATGTTAATTTGTGACATGTTCCCTGTGCCAGGCCAGGATTGGATGAGGCCACAGGCTCAGGCTGTGAGGATGACAATAAGGATGACTCCCCTTGTACATCTGACAGAAGTTGTCCATCAGGCAGCAGTGCTAATGGAAGTGTTGGAAATTCAGATGAGTGTTCAAGCAGCTCTGTGGCTTCAGCAGAGGACAGTCCATCTACCAGTGCAAGTGAGAAACCACTGGAGCAGTCAGAAGCTCCTGGAAGAGATCTGCAAGGAGAGGTGTGCACAGCTGGACAGGCTGAAATTCTGTCTGAAGAAAACAGCAAAATGACAGAGGCCCCAAAGGAAGACATCCAAGGAAAGAATGGAGTGACTCAAGCTCAGAAAGAAGAGCAAGAAAATGTTCCTGCTAAGGCACAGGAAACAAACCAGGCACAGAGCACAGTAAGTATGAAGCAGGACAAAATGTGGTGTGTCTTCAGCTGCTTTTAGAGCTGAAGAAGCAAACAAGCTCCAGCAATGTGGCTTTTCCCACTGGATGGATGAAAGCCCAACTGATACTTGGCAGCAAAAGGTGCCAATACTTCTGCTTTATGGGTCCTTGCCTAATATTGCTGTTAAGGATTTGTGGGCATAATGAATCTGGGCTTACTCTAGCAATAAAAAAAGGTGTAGCTCTTTTTTTCAGGCTGGGGAGTTACTGGGATTTTTCTGCCTTTTTTCACCTTGGGTGTAAAGTCTGCCACTGGCAACTGAACTCTGATGTGTGAAAGTTCATTACAGTTCAGTGGGGAAAAGACCAGGGATGTAATCTGATCAATTAGAACTTTGTCATCTACTGTACTATTAGAGCTGGCAAGTTTTAAACAGGATGTTTACCATTCTTCACTGTTTACCTTTTGCTCAGTATTTGTGAGACTTTCTATTCCTAGAACAGGAAACTCCACCAATGCTGTGGCAGATTGTTATTGCAGGTGGAAATATTTTTATAGTAGTCCTTGATGAATTTTTCTTTTTTTTAGGAGTAGGGTGAGAATAATGAGGTAACCAGTTGGGTTTTTGTATGCTTAGCAGGACAAAGGTTCTGATTTTGCTGGCAAGAATTGCTTTTGCTGAGTGCATAAGGGGAGTTATTCCTACTGTTATTCCTTGCTCTGAAGTCTCTTAGGTACACAGACTATAAGAGCAGTATGTGCATTTAAATATTGAACGAAATGAGCTTATATTTTGGTGTCCTTTATAGTGTGTTAGTAAATTCCAACATTGGAATTATCCTGTCTATTCCATGGTTTTTTGTAGACAAGGCCCTGGATTGGACTAGACTATCTGTAGGGGTTCTTTTTACCAATTTCTTTTGAAAATGAAATTTTAATCCACATTTTCTTTTAGTGGCAGGATGAGATGTGAACTTCACAACTTGTTTTTTGGGGTCAATCTTACTAAAAAGAGATGCTTCTTAATAAATTTCTTTAATTACAGTGTAACTGTATTAGAAATAACTTTCATCCTCCTTCCTGCTCCTGCTGGAGGTATATTGGTTATATTCTGCATCAGGCTAAAAAGGGGCTGTCAGCTTTGCTGTGCCTCTGGAAGCTGAGATTAAGCTGCTGAACTGCTGGGCAAGATTGTAAACTGATGTTCTTCATTCAGTTTTTTTAGGAGTATTGAACTTTCCTGGGATAATCATAGAATCTTCTGAGGGACCCAGCTCCTGCACAGGGCAGCCCCAATAATCACACCATGTGCCTTAGAGAATTGTCCAAATGCTTCTTGAACTCCTGTTTTTTCTTGAATGTTTTTCTCAAATGTTTTTCTCTTTTCAGGAGTTTCCTGGGATAATCATAGAATCTTCTGAGGGACCCACAAGAGTCAAAAGTCCAGCTCCTGCACAGGACAGCCCCAATAATCACACCATGTGCCTTAGAGAATTGTCCAAATGCTTCTTGAACTCCTGTTTTTTCTTGAATGTTTTTCTCAAATGTTTTTCTCTTTTCAGGAGGTAGAACCAATAGACCTGATGGCCTTCAACTCTGCTGCTGAGCTGGAAGCCCTGGGTTTAGAGAAGCTGAAGATGGGATTGATGTCTTTGGGACTGAAATGTGGAGGCACTTTGAAGGAAAGAGCAGCAAGGCTTTTTTCAGTGAGAGGTCTGTCTAGAGACCAGATCAAGCCATCCCTATTTGCAAAGCCCCCTAAAGGGAAAACCTCTAGTTAGATTTGGGAATATTTACCTTTTTTGCATGTGTATTTGATGTCATTAAATAAAAGCTCTTGGTATCCTTTCAACTGAGTATCCCCAGCTTCTGAACTCGCATCCACAAGCTTCAGTAGCATCCCAAGGAGTTATGGGAAGGATGGACAGGTGGGAAGGATATCATCATAGACACAGTGCTTGGGAATCTGCTCCACAGTGTGTTGGAGGGAGAAGAGAAGCACTGAGGCTCTGCAAATCACTTCTCATGGAGGTTGTGACAGGACAAGTGGACTCTGTGTGGAAAGGAAATGGGTGTGTTTGCTGACTGTTTCATTGGCAAACTGGGATGCAGCGTGCTTGGGAGAGCACCTTAGCATGCTGAAGTTTTGCTGGTGTAAATCCAGTGGCTGGGGATGTTAGATCTGGCAGTTCCTGCCCAGGTGGCAAACCTTGGATGTCACCAGCTCTAAAAGGCAGTGACAGTATGTGGGACAAAAGAGCCTTCAGCTCTTTGAGCACACTCAAGCTCCTCTGTAATATGGGAAGGGAAGTGTGGGACAAAAGTGAATTGACCATGTTAGTGGTGTGTTTTGGCAGCAACTCCTACCCAGGTTATTTCCCCTCACTGCAGTTGCTCTCTTATTTCAGTTGTACTGATGCAGCCACTTCCAAGCCTATCCCATATGTCACCTACTTGCCTTTAGTGTTGTGGGTTCTTTATTAAACCAAATCAGTTCCCTGATGTGGCTCTAACAAATTTGTGCCAGAACAACAGAAGCAGAATTACATAAAAACACTGGTTGGGATATTTTAAACCACCAGCAGCACCAAACATTATTGACCAACTGCATCTTCAGTAGTGCCAGAATTAAAAGAAATGCCCTACATCTATCTTAGAGGGCAACAGCTGTACCTTGAACCAGCTGCACACTTTGGCAAATTTATTTGGGAATTGTTTAGCTCCTGCTGAGTTAAAAAAGGAACAAGCACTTGCTTTAGGATCTTCCCACATCGAGGATTAGCCTAGAGCATTTTTGTGTCTGGAGAGCCAGAGGGATACCCACTGGTGATTCAGGACTTTCACATGCTCAAAGGGTATTCTTTTGAAAACAGCTGGGTAACAACAGGACTTGGACTGATCCTTCAACAGAAGAGAAACAAGTAGGTGAAGTGCTTGAAGGTTTTTAAGAATTTGGACAAGAACAGCAAAGTCAACAGTTGGGAAAAAATAATATATATAAACTGAACCAGTTCTAGTGTTATGTGGGCTATTTCTGTAGGAGAGAATGGCATCAGAACAGAGGTGATCTTTCTAGTCCAGGGCCAGAGGATAATGCAGTTTGCAGCCTGTGTCTGTCTTTTCCTAAGTATTTATGTAGCTTTAGATTCCAAAGATGTTTCTGGTTGTAAATGCACCAAAACTGTGAATATGTTCCCAGAGAAAAGGTTCATTCTCCTACGGAATTGCTTCCCCAAAAAGCAAGTGGTGCGACTTACAGAAGTCACACTTCTGCAGTGTCATTTTAAATGCATTTATTTCAAGCACCTAAGCACTGCCTCGTGTTTCACTGGCATTTCAGAGTTACTGACTGAAAAAAAGTAGTGAGTGAAAACACTGGCACAAGCCCGAGAGAGGGCTTTTCCTCACTTCATAGGGATCCTCACTTCCCTAGAAGTAAAGATGAGTACATCTAATACACAAAACAACAGGGAACAGGACAGGTCATAGAGGGAGGGAACTGCTGGAGGTTTAGAAATATCACCAGCAGCAGACACAACAGCTGCTAGCCTTCAACCAGAAGGCTCCATTCCATTGTCCTCACCTGGACGGTGCTAAGGAAAAAGTTCCTCAAAGGCCACTCAGTGATGTGAGCACGCCTTTGGCTGGAGCCTGCTGGAATTGCTGCCATGGTTTGCCGGCTGCTGCAGTTTCTGCTCTGGTTCCTCAAAGGCCACTCAGTGATGTGAGCACGCCTTTGGCTGGAGCCTGCTGGAATTGCTGCCATGGTTTGCCGGCTGCTGCAGTTTCTGCTCTGGCTGCTGTAGGTGGCACTGGACTGACGCGGAGGACGGGTCCGCTTCCAGCAGCGCTGCCAGAGCCTCGTCCCTCCGCACCGGGCACCTGCCGAGGAGCAGGGACATGGGCTCACCTGTACACCGTTCTGCCTGCTCCTGGAACAGTGGCAATCAATCCCTCTGATCCCCCCGCAACTCTGTCTTATCCAACATTTTGCTTTCTGGACAATGTTGGCATTTGAAAGGTTGGTTTGTAGCGATGCCAGTTCTCAGGAAGGTGCTGGTTTTAAATCCTAAAGCTTTCAAACCAAGACATCTATGTGGAAATGGTAATGCCTGCACCCCTGTTAGCACTGCCAGCTCAGCTGGCTTGCTTTGGTTATAGGGAGTGCTTGGGGTGGCTTTGCAGATTAACATGCCTAATGACACCTGAAGGGGGGGAGGTGACAACTCTGAGCTCACCCAGCTGTAGAGGACAGGCACTGCTGCTTTCCAGCTCTGCTAGGGGCTGGGCTAAGCCAGGGTTGTTAGTCCGGGTTTAGAGACAGGGCCTGAATGCAGGAGCTGCCTGGCCTGCTTCTCCCTGCTGCCTTCACTGGATGAAGGCACATGGAATCAGGAATTTGCACAAAACTTGCAGGGCAGGGGAGCAAGGAGCTCTTGAAAGACCTGTTTGGGCTCCATGGAGAGAAGAGGAGTGTTTATAAGGAGCCAGCCAGCTTGTGAAACATCTGCTGGGGACATTACACACCTCAGTGGCAACACAAACAGGCTGCCCAGGGAGGTGAGTGAATCACCACCCCTGGAGGTACCTGTGGGCCATGGTTTAGTGGTGGGCTTGGCAGTGCTGGGTTTATGGTTAGACTCGATGGTCCTGGAGGTTTTTCCAACCTAAACAATGGTCTGGTGGTTATAGATGGCACCTTATGGCCAGTGTGATGCTGTGCCCAGCATCCAGCAACTACCTGGCACCTCCCAAGGGTGACAGGGCTACTGGGCTGGAAGTTGGCAGTCACCTGGGAAGTAATGATCATGAACTGATTGCATTCATTTTCAGCAAACAGAAAACAGACCTTCAAAGGGAATACAGGCATCCCAGGCTTCCAAAGAGGCAGATTTTTTCATAACTAAGATCAGAAGGAAAAATGTAAACAGAAAACCCATAAATAAACTTTAGGACAAGCTTTAAAACAAAATTGATAGATAGCTTGGAAAAAGACCCAAACAAACAAAAACCCACCCTGATTCAATAGTTATCAAAAATAGAATACTGAGAGCTGTGGATTGTTTACATGACTTTCCAGTGCCCAACATCTCCAGATAAGCCATTGTCTCCTGCCACAGTTAAAAACTCTTTCTTGGCCATTCTGCACCTGCTGTTTTACCACAGGAAGCCAAGGCACGCCAGCAGCTCTGGAGTGCCTGAGCATGTCCAGAGCACAGACCAGAGGCAGCAGTCATGATGAGCTCTTTATTCTGTTTTATTCTGAAATATGCTGATGTTGTGCGTGCTACTCTCCTGCACCCGCTCCACGAGTGGACAGAGGAGCCCAAGTCCTCTAAAAACATCAAAGTCCTGCAGGATCTCTGTCAGACTCCCTGCCACCCCACCACCTCCCCACCCCTGTTTGCCCTCGGTTCCCCTTTCCCAGACTCCAGCTGTTGCCTGCCAAAGCCAGAGGAGCTCCCTGATTATCACCTTTGCCGGGATGTGGATTGGGCATCCGACTTTCGGCTTACACAGGCAATTAGGAGGCTGCCCTGAAAGGCAAAGTGTCAGACACCCTTGGTAGGAGCCTGTGAAGTGCAAAAGGGAAAAAACAAGAGAGGGAGAGGAAATAAGGCCTCACCAGCTGGGAAAAGCTGCAACTTCTCACAGATTTTGAAAGAAAATTGGAAAGCAGCTTTGATTTAAATGAAACCATGGAAAGATCACACAGGGCAATGTAATCCAGCTAGCAGTGGCATTTAATGTGGCTTGAAACTTTTGTTCTCTCTCCTAGAACGGAGATAATGGGTAGAGATAATGGAGAGGGAAAGTGCTGCTGGCATTTCCAAGCCTCTCTCTTAAGGAAAGCTTTCCTGAGACTGATGGGACCAGCTCCAGACCCCCTGTCCAGCTCCATTAACCACTGCAGGCCCTTAAAGGTCACACTGTGAGCACTGCCATGAGGTCCAGCCAGAGCAGGCACTCATGATAAACTCATGCTTCTGATAAGATTTGGCTGCCACGCAAACAGAACACTCACACAAGAGCCTAACCTGGAGTGTGGGACTAACAGGGCTCTTGAAGTCCTCCAGGTGAAGAGCACACACCTCCTGCTCCTTGAGCAGCACCTGGGTGCTCTGTGCCTTCAGCAGTGCAGGAGGATGCCTGATGGTTTAGCACTGGCTTTGCCTTAAACAACCTTTCCATTTTTTAAAATAGTTTCTGGCTGTATGGGGTTCATTACGCCCCCACACTGCTCTTCCTTTTTGTTGTATTAGAGCACAGCATCAATGACAATGCTGAAGCACGCTGCTACCAGGCATGTGAGATGTTCTGCCTTTCCTCAGAGACCATGCTGCTGCTCAGACGGAAAGGAGAACATGACAGCTTGGCAGCCTTTGTGTGCATTACAAGTTGTACCCATGCAAGTAACACACAGAAGGTGTCACAGCAAATGCAGCCTGGATTGAAGATGACAGGCTGGGAGACAATTACCTGTAGCACGGGCTGATGTCTGAAGAAGTCCCAGGTGTGGCAGTATTTCATCTACAGCCTTCTGCTCAGGAGTTTGCAGTGTAGACGTCTCTGGAGCCTTCTCCACATCAGCCCAGCCTCCAAGTCTGCAACATTTTCATTGCAAAGCCATCTGGAGTTTAGAGGAGTAGCGTCCTGTCTCCCCAAAAGTGGGGAGCTTCAATCCCCATGTAAGTTCTAAACCTGCCCCAGCAAAGGTGCTGTGACATCCGTGCAGCTGCCCTAGGGATAAATCCAAGTGTCCATGCAGGCAGCAGGGCAGGCAGGGCTTTGTCGCTCACAGATTTGCACCCTGCAATTCCCACAGTTCTCCCCACAGTAACACCAGGTCTC